CGCTGTCCGGGCAAAATTTCCCTCATAGCACACTGTATGGCGTATGCCCGTCTTCATTAGTCCAGTTCGGAGCAGAACAGTAGGACGTTAAACCCCATTTCATTTCATTTCATTACATATTTTATTTTTATTTTGAGTAAAGTCTTTATCGTTACAGGGACAGTACAGCGCAGTGACCCCCGAATAAATTCACTTGATTTGATGTTTGTTGTTTGTTTCTTGCAATGTCTATGTGGTTTGTCTTGTCCAAAGGTTTGTCTTGTCGGTTTTGCTTTGCGTGTAGTGCGGTCCTCCTGCATTTACTTTCATGACTCATTTAGGCATTCTTTCTTTAAGTAGTAAGTAACAAAACTAAATTGCTTTTGATGTACACTTTTAAGACTCATTTAGGCCTTCATTATTTAAGAGAGAGAGAGAGAGAGAGAGAGATGGGGTTTAGCGTCCACTCGACACCAACTAAGTCATTTCGGGACTAACATATGGTTTAATTTTATTTCAATAATTCGCTTGCGCGTAGGGGTCTTTAGCAGTGGGAGGAAACCGGAGGACCTGGAGAAAACCCACGAGGTTGGACAGGCGACCCTACTCCTTGCCACGTACAACCGGGGACTCGAAACCACGCCAGTTAACTCAATGACAGACCTTATGATACAGCGCGCGCATGCTAACCATTCGGCCATCCAAACCCCCTCATTAATTAAGCAGTAAGGAACAAAACTAAATTGCTTTTGATGTATACCTTTAAGATATGCTCGCTTGAGATTAGTTAGGTCATTTAGTTCACGCTGAAATATATTTTGAATTAAATGTATTATATTTCTGGTGGTCTAGAAATACAAAATCATAGACTGATAGTGATCAGAAGCCTACAATCATTAAAATCAGAAACCCTAAGTTTCGTACCTATAGCTATACGCCTATCTGTAAGTGTTGGCTTTATTCGTAATGCCGACATATTAAGATTTGATACTGTATAAGTTTTCACATTCAAATAAAACGACAGTAAATAAAATGATAAAGTAATGCCATCATCAAGTTTGGCAAGTGAATGAGTTCAGCAAAACTCACACGATTGGCTTAAGTGACCACTGTATTCGTAATGGGGGTATGTTTAGATTTGAAAACAAATCAGTGCTCACATATTTGTCGCTATGATGACGAACGCATGCGCTGTGGTTAGTCCGCCGTTCTGTGGGCTTATTACCTAAGAAATGACCATCCGCACATAAAGCTGACATGCCTAATTATTTCCCGTGGATTCTTCCAATCATTTTAAAACAACAACAAAAAGCAACAAATACATCGAATTTGAAGTCTCTTGAGCAGCTGTGGCTTCCTTCATAGCACACTGTCCGTATTCATTAGCCCGATATGAACACAAAAGCAGGACGTTAAACCCAATTTCATTTCATTTGATTAAGTCGTGCAAAGCTTGAATTTCCTTAACTTGCAAATGGCGCACAGAGACTTCTGCATATAAATCTGATGATATAGCTTAAATGTTCAAACTGTAGAAGAAAACGGGTTTGTAATCTGTGGTTAATTGAATGAAGATGTCATGGCGGTGTTAAATATAATGTTTATTTGTTTTATTTGACTGACATGTAAGGTGTCTGTTTCACATCACACCTAAACAAGATGTGAAAATAAACTGTTGATGTTACCTCGCGTGTATTTGAAAGGCTGACATTGCTAGCAATATTTTATTATCGAAACAGTATTTTCGGCGTCGGTTCCCCTTGTTAATTGTGTTGGAAGGGTGCATGGTACGACAAAAATAAACGAGGCCCCGCGCGCATGTTGGCGTGCATGTGATAGAACCCTTGGTAGATGAAATTTGACGGAAGAGAAGACGAAAACGCCACTGTCCTGTCAACATTCCCCCAATCCCATAGCACACTGCATGGCGTATGCCCATCTTCATTAACCCGGCTGGTGCACGCTAAACGCCACTGCGCCCCCCCCCCACCCACGCAATAGCAAACGCGATGGCTCGCATGTTTGTCTTCATTAACACGGTTGGTGCACGCTTAACCCCCTTTCATTTCGATGTAGAACAGACAGTATACACCGAATAGAGACAACTATACATAAACCTATGACACATATCACGAGATCGTATCCACAGCGAATGGTGGGGGGGGGGGTGTAAATATAATACTTTTTTTTTAAATTTTGTATTGACCATCTGGCTTGTTGCCCTTTAAAATGTTTCAAATTCTTGACTTAAATTAAAAAAGCTCTCTCTATTGGTAAATGTAATAGCCATTTAAAGAGCGACATCTCTATCACCAAAAAAAATAAATGTAATTACTATTTTAATAATTTCATAAATATCCTCTGACCCACCTAGTTACTAAAAATCTGGGATTTTTCTTTTAAAGAGTCGTGATCTAGGGACCAACTAGGGACCGGCGCAAGAATTCTTTTTTTTTTTTTTTAAAAAAAAGACTTATTCTTATTCGAAAATAACGTAATTATTTGAACATGTCAATTTTAACTGTCAAGTCAAATTGGGTTTTTTTTTTTAACAAGCTGGCGAAGACCTCAAATTATCGTCGTCGTCGAGTGCGGCTTTACGTCCGTTGTTACCTAGGGTAATATCGAAGGCCATTGGATTAAACTATTCAATTATTGATTTGGTTAAACTATTCAATTATTGATTGGGTAAAACTATCCAATTATTGATTGGATTAAACTATTCCATAATTGATTGGGTTAAACTATTCAATTATTGATTGGGTAAAACTATTCAATTATTGATTGGATTAAACTATTCCATAATTGATTGGGTTAAACTATTCAGTTAATGATTGGATTAAACTATTCCATCATTGACTGGATAAAACTATTTAATCAGTGACTGGATAAAACTATTCAAGTATTGATTGGGTTAAACGATTCAATTATTAGATAAAACTAAGCAACTATAGATCGGATTAAACTATTCAGTTATTGATTGGGTTAAACTATTCAGTTAATGATTGAATTTTAACTATTCAATCATTGACTGGATAAAACTATTCAATCATTGATTGAATTTTAACTATTTAATCATCGACTGGATAAAACTATTCAATCATTGATTGAATTTTAACTATTTAATCATTGACTGGATAAAACTATTCAATCATTGACTAGATAAAACTAGTCAATCATTGACTATATAAAATTATTCATATATTGATTGGATTAAACTATTCAATTATTGATTTGGAATAAATGAAATGAAATGAAATAGGCTTTAACGCCCAACTGTTCTGCTCAGACTGATTGGAATAAATTGACTAGATAAAATTATTCAATTATTGATTGGATTATACTATCATTTATTGATTTGGAATAAATGAAATGAAATGAAATAGGGTTTAACGCCCAACTGTTCTGTTCCGACTGATTGGAATAAAATATATCCATTTAATAATTAGAAAATAAAAATATCTCGGTTAACGATTTGATTAAACTATTTATTTATTGACTGATAAAAAAAATTCAGTCAAAACTATTTTTGCTTGGAATAAAACATATCGCTATAGGCTAGAATAAAATGTTCATTTAATGATTGGGGGAAAAAATAGGTTCGGAATAGGCTATTCATTTATGATTGTATTAAACAATTTAATTGGAAACTTAAATAAAATATTTTCAATTATTGATTAGGGAAGACTTTTCAACTATTGTTACCTGAATTAGTTATTCAATAGGAACAACTAGTGATAGCCATCTGCATTTTGCGGAGAATATCACTTTTTTACCGCTAAATCTACGCTTAATTGTACTCAATTTCATTATCTAATATGCAATTTAGAAAAGAGACCCATTAAAAACAATGACAGTGGAAATTAAAGGTGGTGCTAGATGGATTTGGCAAAATCCAAAACATCGTGTGCAGCGCACGTGGACGCCGAATGTTGACAAATTTTCAATTCCACATATGTTTTTAAATACTGAATGGAATTGAGCCAGTTTTGGACTGATTCTCCTTTTCAGGAATGAAACTTCCACAATATTACTGTTTGAAATGGATTCAAAGTCCTTCAAATGACAATCAGATAAGTTTTTTATGTCTTAAAGATTGTAAATGCAGCGTCTAGAAAGATTAAAATGACAGTAAGACTATACATGTCACAACAATTTGTTGTCAGTCTTTTATCATACTAATTATTGAATATGCATATTTAATATTGAACATGCATATTTAATATTGAATATGCATATTTAATATTGAATATGCATATTTAATTTTAATAGTTGAAACACTATTCTCGAGCAATGCCCATTATTTATAACGTCACTTACTGTAAATAAATGTTATTTTGGTCGCCAGCTAATTTAAGAATCCGAGTTTTCAAACGTTGTATTTGAGACATGAGAACGTTTGTAAGTTTCAGTATGTAGATGACCATTATATAATATGTTAAACTCCATACAAAGACTGGATGTGGTTGTTTCTTTTATAAATGTATAACAATGTTGCGAATTTAGGATTTAGAGTTTTCAAACGTTGTATTTGAGACATGTGGAAGTTTCAATATGTAGATGACCATAATATAATATGTTAAACTCCATACAAAGACTGGATGTGGTTGTTATTATTTATAAATGTATAACAATATTGCTAATTTAGGATTTAGAGTTTTCAAACATTGTATTTGAGAAATGCGAAGGTTGGTTATAATCAGCATATCACACTATAGTACTGTATGACTATAATATAGTATAGGTATGTTTTAACTTCAAACAAAGACTGGGAGTTCATATTTATCTTTTATAAATAACAATAAAATAATTGCTAATTTGAGAATCAGAGTATTCAAACGTTTTATATGCGAAATGTGAAAGTTTGTAACATTCAATTATATGTAAATAATATTGTATGTTTTTACTCAACGCAAAGATTGAAATCGCTTGGTTTTTTTATGAATAATATTGATAATTAAAACTGTCTCTGTTAATAAAAGTATAGATAATAATAACAAAGAGATTTTGTGAATACTTACCTCAAACCGGAGTTCACCGACTGGTGGCTTAGCATAGGGAATTCCCAAAAATCTGTCAATACGTTTTCCATTCGATAAAGTTTCTATCTCTCCTCGTACTTTACCATATTTGGTTTTTCTGAGTACGTGTCTCCTCTCGGAATTTACAATTTCCATAAAAATAAAAATGAAAAGCAAAACGAACTTCATGGCGAATATAATTGATAAATTAGCCATGAAAAGATGATGTTCCGCTGTAGAAATTATGTTACAATCTAAGTTTGAAAACGATTCGTAGTAAGTTGTATTGTAAATCGTCTGGAGTAATCGTGACTTGATGTAGTTAGTAGACTAGGCACTAGGTCTTATCACCGTCATGTTTAAGACAAGCCAATAAATAAAGCCTTTCAATCAATTCACACAGAGTATAGCGAGTATGAAAACTGGAATCAGTGTCTGGAAGTAGACAAGTAAATTTGATTATGACAACTTGTAGTGGTATAAGTAGCGATATTGGACGATAGATAGACCACACCTATAGCCTACAGTTTTGTAATGCGAGATCGGTGTTTAGATTTAGTGGGCGTGGTTTATATAAAGGGGTGGGACCATACGACCAAGATTGTGTATGTGTGTGTTATATTTCGTGTGTTTTGTTTTTGTAAGCGTTAAGAAATTAACTGAGGTTTAACGTCCTACTTTTCTGCTCTATCCGGGCTATTGATGAAGGGAAATGAAATGAAATAATATGGGGTTTAACGTCCTAATGTTCTGCTCCTACACTGGGATAATGAAGACGGGCATACGCCATACAGTGTGCAATGGGGATAAATTTTGCCCGAGCAGCGGCACTATGACCTACTCTTATATCGAATCCCAACTGTCAAGGGATCTTTTACGTGAACGCCAATGTATACACGAGACCTCGGTTTTTCGATCGTCTCATCCGAATGACTAGACAGCTGTCCTTGTCAGACCATCCGTTCTGCACCAATGACAATGGGAAACCACGCCGGAAATTCCCGATGAAACTTTCTCGGTCAACACCGTGAGCGAACCCGCGACCCCCCAGTCTAGCGAGCCAGCGTCTTGCTCACTTAGGGCATATGCCATATAGTGTGCTCTGAAGCAATTTTACGTGTACGCCAATGTGTACACGGGACCTCGGTTTGTCGTCCCATCCGAACGACTAGACAGCTGTCCTTGCCAGGCCCTCCGTCGTGCATCACTGACAAGGGGAAACCACGCCGGAAAAACTGTGGGTGCAGGTTACGTGTAGATTGTATGGGTGTACAGCCCTGACACTATCTGTCAATGAATCAACTGTCCGAGTCGCCCGTCCTCTGCATTCCCACAGCGGCTAAAGCGCTAGTCCAGAAATAACCTAGTTTTTGTTGAGTGGACCCCATTCCCCATTTACCGGTTTCCTCCTACTGTTAAGGACCCATACACGCAAGCGAATTATTGATATAAAATTGTACAATACGCTAGTCTTGAAATGGCATAGTTTGTATCAAGTGGACGTTAAACGTCATTTCTCTTTCTCTGTTTGACACGAGATGAAAATACAGGTTTCGTAGTCGTGTTTTCAGTCACGTATGCTCAAGAACTAAGATGTAACGTCAAGTATATTTTTGCATGGTAGATTGGGGTGGCGGTGTTGGTGGGATGGGTTCATGGGGGGGGGGGGGTGTCTTTTTTTCCTTTAAACAAAATGAAGGGACAACGAATAGTCGTTCGGGTGGGACGAAAACCTGAGGTCCCGTGTACACAATGGTGTACACGTAAAAGAACATTTGACAGTTGAAATTCGAAATAAGAGTACCTCTTAATGCCACTTTCCGGGCACAGTTTCCCTCATAGCACACTGTGTGGCTTATGCCCGTCGTTATTAGCCCAGTCGGGGCAGAACAGTGGGCCGTTAAACCCCATTTCATAAAAGAATCGTCCACTTTATATCGCGGTTTTATCATCCCCAGTTTTTCATGAAAACAGAAACATCAACAATGGCGCCTGAACTTGTAAGGATTTTATTGATTTGTAATTTATTATACCGAGCACGAGGAAAAGAAATAATCTATAATACTGATCGATAATCGATAATCGATATGATCAGTAAGTACCGTTCTTAGTGGGGGGAGAGGGGCGATACCCAAGATAGCATCTTTCCATCGACAATTAGCGAGCCAGCGCCCCACCCACTGAACCATAGCTTAAAAGCCAAAATCGACAACAACAATTATTAACAACACAACTTTCTGCTTAATAGTTTGTTTTGATCTAGGACGAAATCGCTTAGGGGACAATGATCGGATCGGAGCAACAGTGATTCGGTGAGCATGGTGCTGGCTCGCTAACCAGGATGTCGATCTTGTTCGAGATTGTCCTCTTGTAAGTGGTGCAGGACATACGTCTAGTCGTTGGGAGCAGTTACAGAGCCCTTGATAAATGGCGTATGTCTGTCTGGATTATCCCAGTTGTTTCTGCAAAGTTGAACGTTAAACTCAGCCTCGTCTCTTTTCATGTCATTACTGAGTCGTGGGTAAGCCACAGTGGCTAAGCGAGTAAGACGCTGGCTCGCTGGCCTGGAGCTCGCGGGTTCGATCCCAGTGTTGACCGAGAGAGTTCATCGTGATTTTCTGGCGTGGTTTCCCTTTATCAGTGGCGCAGGACGGAGGGTCTAATAAGGGCAGCTATATAGTCGTTCGGATGTACGAAAAAAAGAGGTCCCGTGTACACATTGGCGTGCACGTAAAAGATCCCTAGACAGTTGGAATTCGATATAAGAGTATTTCATTTCATTTCTGTGTCGTGGACTGCAGTTTCAATCATTTGCATAAGAAAAGGTAACGAGACCCTGTGATGTTGAGAACATGGCGTGTGTTAGCCGTTAAGCTGGTCGAAACCATTTTATTGTCAACAATCACAGTTTAATTATATTATAATATTAATAGTCTCGTAACAAGAAACGTAACGAGCTTACTTTGTCTATTACAGTTTTGTCATTGCTTCACACGAGCTTGTCATGTGAATAAAAATTGCTAATTAATAATATATATATGTGAATAAAAATTGCTAATTAATAATATATATTCACATGACAAGCTCATAATTAACTCTCTAGAACATTGGATGGTCATGACATTTACTGGATTAGAACACTCTAAAAATGGATAATCAAGACTTTGTCTATTATCGTAGCAATGATACTTGACAATCGAGACTATATTGTTTTGGGATTGTTTCGCTCCAAATGTTATATAAATCATTAATCAGACATGCATTCACTGGGGATAACAACGGCCTTTCAAGGACACGCATTTTGGGCCAATAAGGAAACCGCGAGCATTATCCAAGATTACTTCCGCAGAGATCAAAAACCATCTCTTATCACAGAAAACAAAAATATCCCAGTGAGCTCGTGCCGGCAGAAAAATCTTGAAACATTTTTTGTCAAAGGTATGTTGAATCATGTCCACCAATTATCAGGCCGTGTAAACTAGGCTTTACAAATCAGACGTTGGCTCACTAATCAGTGTTGGCCGAGAAAGTTCCTCGGGGATTTCCTCTTGTCGGTGGATAGGTGGGGCGAAAATAAAATAAAATGGGGTTTAACGTCTTACTGTTCTGCTCCGACTGGGCTAATGATGACGGGCATACGCTATACAGTGTGCTATGAGGGACATTTTGCCCGGACAGCGGCACTACAGTGTACTCTTATATCGAATTCCAACTGCTAAGGGAACTTTTACGTGCATGCCAATGTGTACACGATGGGGCGAAAAACCGAGATCCCGTGTATACCATTGCATGCACGTAAAAGGTGGGTTGCCTAGTGGTACAGATGGGACGAAAAAACGACGATCACCCGTCTACAAATCGGAGCGCACTTAAAAGAAATCTTGACATTCGACGAAAAGTAGGCGGAAATGCCGCTGTCGGGCGACACAATTCTCCTAACTAGCATTGAAAACATAGTCAATGAAAAAAAACAAAACAATCGTATATAAGTTTCAAAATGACCGGAGTATAGCTCCATTCGTATTTGTACAGATGTCAAAGAAGGACGAATGGACTGAAGTAATATCACCAACACAAACTTATCCCTGTTATGCCTGCCGAACGATTGCCCACTGTATATAAGTTCCTCGTCCTTTTCTTTGTTTCTTCTAGCAACTGATATATTCTGCCAGAAATCAGACGTTAAACCATGCACCTTATGTTAGAATTGGCCAGTGAGGAAATTTCAAGGTATGGTTAATAATGATACCATTTTGATAAACTTCACAAAAGATTATAAAGAATGGCGTCATAGCCTCGATATCGCCGTTTCAACAAAGACAGTGCAGGTAAAACCGTAGTTGTAGATGTCACGTTTCGAATCATGTCGACGCAACTATTTGCACTTTCTGTGACCCCTGGACCACTTCACACACTAACTTGATACAGTACGTTAAATAAATGAGAGTGTTGATTCTGTAAGTTGGGTATCTCACGGTCTGTCCCCCATGTTGGATTAATGACTATACAATATATATGTTCCGGTCAGTGGTTGATAAATTCAAAATACGACATGTCTTCGTGATAATTACATACTACTCAGATAAAGAAATAAAAATGAAATGAAATGGGGTTTAACCTCCTACTGTTTTGCTCCGACTGGACTAATGAAGACGGGCATACGCCATACAGTGTGCTATGAGGGAAATTTTGCCCGGACAGCGGCACTCTGGCCCACTCTTATATCGAATTCCAACTGCCAAGCGATATTTCACGTGCACGACAATGAATACACGTTACCTCGGTTTTCCGTCCTATCTGAACGACTAGTCAGCTATCTTCGTCAGGCCCTCCGTCCTACACCACTGACAAGAGGAAATAACATCGGAAAATCCCGATGAACCCAGTTAAAGAAATGAAATGAAATGGGGTTTACCGCCCTAATTTTCTGCCCCAAATGGGCTAATGAAGATGGGCATACGCGATGCAGCACGCTATAAGGTCAATTTTGCCCTAACAGTGGCGCTACGCTCTATATCGAATTCTAACTATTAAGGGTTCTTTTACGTCCACGCCGATGTGAACACGTGACCTTGGTTTTTCAAACCATTCGAACGATAAAACAGCTGTCCTTGTCAGCCCCCCCCCACCCTCGGCCAACACCAGGACAGAACAGT